CCCACAGCCTTCAACAGGGCAGGTAAACCTCCGGTCATCATCGTGTTTCCTGCCAGAAGAGAAAAACAGGGAACATTGATTATTCACACAATCCGGAGATACCAGACCTCAGAGGTGATTCTTTGTTTAAAATTCTGCAAATTACAAACTCTTAGCATTTAAAGAAAATGATCAGTACATTTCAGAAAATCTTAATTCTCTCTAACCCATGTGAACAGGTTTGCAATTTAGCTAACCCTGTAATTAGGAATTCTGCTTTAAGGACAAGGCTGACTGGAGAGTCAGACACATCAATTAGTGCTGCTTCAATCTAGGAACACACAGCTGGGTCCCAAACGTATTGATGAAGCTTTCAATGTTTAGAAATTCTGGTAACAAACAAGGTTTCCAAGCTGCAGAGGGCAAAGAGAAACATGCACAGAAAATCAACTGCAATGCTAAAAGGACCCCTTCAAGTCCATGCATAAACACAGTTCTTTCCTAAGTAACATTGTATCAATTGCAATGCTAAAAGGACCCCTTCAAGCCCATGCATAAACACAGTTCTTTCCTAAGTAACATTGTTATACTTAAAACCCCTCAAATTCCCAGCTGTGCAAGCATGGACAAACCACCCAACCTGCTGTGTCCCAATGCAAACCAGGAAGAGTAAGAACATCAAAGCCAGAGTCATCGTGAAGGTTAAAGGAGACACATATGTAAAGCGCTGAACATCACCTGCACATAAGCAAAGCCCTCCAAGGACGTCGTTATCAGCATGGAAATTTTCGAATGACATCAGGAAAGCTTCTTCTACAATGTTAATTTTTTCTAAATATTGAATTGTATATGAAATATGCAAATTACATTTAAAAAACAAGTATACCTAGAAAAACTGACATTAGGTGATCAGATTCTGAGTGGTTTTCTTTTTACAGGTTTCTGAACTTTCCAATCTACAATGGGCTCCCTTCCTTATAACTTAAAAATCGACAGATATTTAATCCATAGGCTTCTGCTACTGACAACTCATTTGTTCCTATATGGGTAATTCAACCAAAATGTAAAGATTACCTTTTGTGTCGTAGGAGTTTAGACATGCTGGTGAAGGTCCAGCCACAACTGTCAGAGTCACAAATAAAAGGTCTTTCACCTTAGGAAAGAAAAAAATTACGCCACATAATCATAAATGCAAGCTACCACAAAGACAAATCTTAGGTGCCAATGCTCTATTCTCTAGCTCATTACCTGTATGACTTCTCAGGTGAATTTTCAGGCGACAGGCTTTGTCATATTGTTTGCTGCACCCAGGAAAGGAGCAAGAAAAGAGTTCTTGTTCCCTGAAGTGAGCTCGGTTATGGGAAAACAGAGCACTCACTGTGATGAATGTCTTCTCGCAGCCTGAACAAAGAAAACACAAACCCTGTTCACTGGTGTGACAAAAATCCCATAACACAGCTAAACTAGTCACCCCTCCAGGACACTATTCACACTGAAGCAAACAAGAAAGAAAATCAGTCAGAAGCACCTCCAGAAAGTTACAACCATGTTACAACCATTATTTTAATAGTGGCTAAGGGCACCCAATAAGCACACGCAGGCCACCTGCTGTGATACGACTTAGATAGGAAGCAAGTGATCAAGGGCAAGTCCTCCAATCACAGCCACGTGCTCCCCAGTTTCCACAGCACAGATCTTTCTCGTGAACTCAAATGTCAACGCTGTCTGTCTGTGTGAGACCAAGGAAAACCGAACAAGAGATATTAGATACTAATTCTAAGGATTTAGTATCTTAGGATACTAAGGATTCTGTCTGAGAGGGTTGAACTTGGAAGGGCCACAAACCATTGTTCTATCCGAGACTTTGCCCCTCCACGTGATGCTGTGTCCTCCAAAATTACAAATGTCCTCCCTGACATCCTCTGCAAAGGGCAGCAGCCCCTGCTGTCACCTCCTTTCTCCTTTTCCTTTTGCTTATTTCACCAGGGTTCCCTGCTGTGAAAGGAGGCTACCAGGGTCTTCATTCACATGGCCTTTTCCTTCACTCCCATCTTCAACTCCAGTTCAGCCACCAGAAAGGAGCCTACCTCAGCAATCCCCAGACTTTCCACATCAATAGCTCTCCTTTAACAAAAAGGTTCAGGCTTAAATAGAGTAGAAAATGCCAGGTTGCAAGATGCTGACCAGGTATCTCTGCAGCAGCTCTTCCCAGAGTCTGTAACACGCTACCATCGTGCCTATACACCACCAAGCGGATACACGCTGCACATCGAAGCACGAGCCCCAGGAACCCTACTCACCCTCGCAACACTTAACTGGGAAATGCTCCTCTTCCTAAATGCCCGAAAATCATCCTCTTCCTCCTCTTTGGCATAAAACTGCCCTCCCTTCCCACCCCCCTCATTCCCTATTTTGGGCTTTAGTGTATTCACACACTCCAACAGGTAAATTGCTCTGCCTTACAGAGAACCACCCTCCCTGCAATCAACAGTCAAGCCTTTTGATCCTGCCTCTGCAATCTTTCCTACGTGGAACCCCCTCACCATTCCCACTGCCTCAGCAAACTCAGGTCTAGAACATTTAACGGGGCTTCACTGGTCCCTCTCCTGAACCCACCCATCCTGAACACCACTGATCATCCAACCCAAAAATCCCTGATCTTCCTAGTACTATACTTAGAATGATGCTCTTTGTGCATTTTACTAGGGAGCAGTCTATAAGCCAGATTCACAGTGTATTACTGAGAAGGTTCTGAAATAGTGGTTTAAACCTATATTCTCCACAAAGAGGGATGCAAAAGACCATTCACAAGCATGTGGGGAAAAAAATATTAGAACTTATTAATATGTTTTTCATTTCATCCTTTCAAAATCCCTACTACATTTAAGTGTATCTTATAACAAACACATTACCATGAGAGCACTGCACAAATATAATGCACCAATACACACGCAGGACGCATGCTAGGCACACAGTTGAGGTTCTGTTTTAACGAAGAGGACACGAAAGGTCCCTCCCCCTCTACTGGGCCCTCCCACACCCTTCCAACTTCACTCTCCACCTCACACCACCACCACAGCCCGCATTCCCTTCCTTGGCTTTGCTGTGTCACCCACCAACACTGCCCTCCACCCCAGCTCAAGCAAGCCACCTCCTTCCCAGGCACGAATCTTCTCTTCCTCCTGTGCCTCCTCAGGCACCTAAATCTGCCTCTCCTGGTGGAGTTCACTGTTTTGGAGCCTGCATTCCCTCCTACTGCAGGCAATGACAGAGGGGAAAGGACCCTTCACTGGATTTTACCCACATTACTGGGCCTCAGACTCTTCATCTGTAAAATAATTTTTAGAACTTCCAAAACTGTGAAGTCCAAAGAAAATAAAAGCATAAAAGGTCAGAAAACTGCAATGCACCACACACCTGTGACTATCCCCTCTGGGCCTTGGGGTGTTGCATCTGGCCAGATTCATCTGTGCCACCTAAATATCTGATAATTGAATGTCTAACTGATGAAAGACCCAAGAAAACAGACACCTGACTCATAAATCAAATCTCTAGTAAGATGCTTTATCACCTTCATTAACCTGAAGCACCTCTAAGAGGGACCTGTTGCCTCCACCGCGGGGAAGAAAGGCTGTAATTCTTAGTGCTACCTTTGTCGAAATCCCCACAGCAAGGCAGGGTTGAAGTGTCAAACCGAAATCACCTGAAAAGAACTGGAACACAAACACCAGAGTGCTCCGTTCCCGCCCCTCACTCTTGGCCCACGGAATTTAAAATTCTGCCCAACTGAGCAGCCGAAGGCAGGGCGACGCCGCACCCACTCTGGGCAACTGAATTTGGACCTGGGGCCCTGGGCGCCCCCCGAAGCCCGCCCGCAGGCCCGTGGTGCGCGGTTACCGGGAAAGTCACACTTGTAGGGCCGCTCGGGCTCGAAGTGGGTGCGCTGGTGGGAGCTGAGTTTGGCGTGCGTGGGAAAGCGTTCGGAGCACACCTCGCACTTGAACAAGTTCTCCTGCTCGTGGCCCTTCATATGAGCCTTGAGGTTGTACACGGTGGTAAACTTCTTCCCGCAGCCGCCCACCGGGCAGCCGAAGGGCCGCAGCTTGTCGTGCGACTGCAGGTGCCGCTTGAGCTTGTAGGAGGTAGTGAAGGCCCAGCCACAGCCGTCCAGGGGGCACTTGAAGGGCCGCCGGCCCTGGCTGCTACCGTGCGTCAGCAGGTGCACCTTGAGCTGGTGCTTCTTGGCGAAAGAGAGCGCGCACTGCGGCTCGGGACAGCGGTAGCCCGGGACACCAGAGCCGGGGCCCTGGGGACCGCGGCGGCCCTCGGCCGGGCTCGCGGCCTCCTCGCCCGGCGGCGCGGGCGGGCCCCGGGGAGGCTGGCAGGGCTGCGGCGGCGCGGCGGCCAGCGTGAAGACGCCGTGATCGAAGCGCACCAGCAGGTCCTGGCTGTTGATGGTGACGGTGCCCGCAAGGGCCGCGCCGGACCCGGGGGCGGCGGCTGCGCCGCTGGGGCCCTGCTGGGGGCAAGGCATTGGGCTCGCGCCAGCGCCGGGCCCGACCTCCCGCCGCCCGGGGGCCTCGGCCGCGGCGCCGCGCGCCACTTCCAGCAGCACCACGAAAGAGTCGCCACCGTCCTCGGGGGGCGGGGGGCTCGGCCCCGGGGCCGCCGACGCCACCCGGGCCTCCCCGCGCAGCGGCCCCGGCCCGCCATCTTCGGGACCCCGCAGCAGTAGCAGGCGGCGGCGCGCGGGGCCCGGGCTGGACGGTGGCCCCGGGCCTCGACGCAGTCGGCCGGGGCCGCCGCCGCCGCCGCCATGTTGGGCTCCGCGCGCGGTCGGGGCGGCGAGCAGCTTCGGAAGGTCCATCTTGGGCCCAGTCGCGGCGTCCCAGCCGCCGCCTCGGAAGAAGCGCGGTCCGCTCCGCCCAGCCGTGCGCGACGCCGTGCGGCCGCCGCGACGAATCGACGCCAAAGCCCGGCGCGGAGCGAGACCGGACTCCGGCCCGGAGCTGCGCGTGCGCGTGAGCCAGAGGGGCGCCGCGCGAGGCCTGCCGGGCTGGGGATGGTTGGCGCCGCCCAGGCGCGGCCCCGCGGGTCCGGCTTGCCGCCGAACCTGGGGACTTCGGCCGACCCCGACCACGGAAGCTGCGGTTTGACTCCTGCATGGGGACGACGCTCGCCTGACTTAACAATCGTATCTTTCATCTGGGTAGTGGATTAATAATAGCAGCCAACTATCTTCACACTTACAAGTGTGAGAAACTGAGGCACAGATAGCTTGAGTCCCTTGCCCGAGGTCACATAGCTGGGAACTAGGAGAGTCAGGGTTCGGGCACCAGGCTGGGCTCACTGAACAGCGAACAGCCTAGCTGCCGCTGGCCTTTGGCTCACAGACTTTGCGCGAAGTGCCCCCAGATCCTTCCCCACCACCCAGCCCCTCCACCGGGACCCCTGCCTACGCTCTTCCAGTTGCATTTCCTACTAAACTTTGTACTGTCCCACACTGCCTCAGCCCTTACTCATTGTTGTCTCAACTCCTCCACCCCACCCCCTCAACCCGGATTCGGTCTGGAGTCCCTTAACTTGGCCGCACGTCACTGCCCTCCGGACCCAAACCCCTCCTACACGCCTAGCTTCTTAGGAAAATAACACCGCAGCTGATCCGCAGCCTCCACCACGCCTTCGCCCCAATCTAGTCTCAATAGAGCCGACTTTTGTGATCTTCCCAAAGTGCAAATCAGCTGTGCCCCAGTCACTCCATTGCTCTTATTGCCTAGCTGGTCTCCCCCACATTTCTCACCACTTCACCCCTCACTCTACAATCCCAGGGCTCCCCTATCTCTTTCCATTTCCTCCAGCAAGCCGAACTAGTTCTGCTAGACTGCACAGCTGGTCTCTGATTCCTCTGGGAAGACTGGACTTCTGATCAGGTACACCCTCACCCAGCTCTTTATTCTCCACCCCATCTCTCGATTTGTTATCTCATATAGTTCTCAATTGCTGTTGTTTTATTGGCCCCTTTCCTGGATAATTGATTGGGTCCCCCTCTAGAATGTAGACTCATTTAGGACAGGAACCGTGCCTTGGTCTCATTCACAGCTGTATGCTCAGAATCTAGTAGGGAGACTCTCAGTAAATATTTATTGATGAATGCTTTATTATTAACAGTTCTTTAAAAATAAGATACATAAATAATATTGAAAAGAATAGGAAACATACATATATGAAATATGAATTTATGCCCCAAATATATTGTTCCCAGTAAAGAATAATCTTTTCAACAAATGTTCTGGGACAACTAGATATCCACACATGAAAGAATGAATTTGGACCCCTACTTCCCACCAGACACAAAAAGTAACTCAAAATGGATCAAGGACCTAAATGTAAGAGTGAAAACTCAAACTATTAGGAGAAAACAGTATATCTGTGTGACCTAGGATTAGGGAATGGTTTCCTAGATATGAAACTAAAAGCACAAGCAGTGAAACAAATTGGTCTTTGCCAAAACTGAAAACTCTTTTAGGTGAAAGAACACCAAAAAGAAAATGAAAAGACAACCCACAGAATGGGAGAAAAATTTGTAAATCCTATATCTGCTAAGCGACTACTACCTAGAATATATTTTTAAAAACCCATGACTCAACAGCAAAAAGACAACCCAATTTAAAAACAAAGGACTTGAATAAACATCTCCCCAGAGATGTACAGATGGCCAATAAGCACATGAGGACATGTTCAACACCATTACTCATTAGGGAAATGCAAATCAAAACCACAAGGAGATAACACTTATCCACTAATAGCAATAATTTTTTTAAATGAAAAAGGAGTGTGAGGATGAAGGAAAAATTGTAACCCTCATACATTTATGCTGGGAATGTAAAACGGTGAGGCCAGTGTGCAAGAAAGTTTGGCAGTTCCTCAAAAAGTTAAATATAGAATTTCCATATGACCCAGCAATTCCACTTGTAGGCATATATCCAAGAGAAATGAAAACACGTGTATTCACACAAACACTTGTTTGTGATTGGTCATAGTAGCAAAATCAATGCAGAACATTGTTTAGAAGGATCCCATTTGTACAAGGAGGGAAAACTATACCTATGTTAACATGCTTGCACATCCTTTTTATTATGTAGCATTATGAATAATGAATATTGCTACATAATAAAAGGGAAACAACCAAGTATCTATCAATAGACAAATGGGTAGACAAAATGCAGCATATCCACACAGTGGAATATTATTGGGCCATAAAATGGAATGAAGTACTGATATAAGGCTACAACATGAGTGAAACTTGAAAACATACAAGGGGGAAAAAAGCCAGACACAAGACACCACATACTATAGGATTCCACTCATATGTCCAAAAAAGGTAAATCCATGGAGCCAGAAAGTAGATTAGTGATTGCCAGGGGATAGAAGGGGAGGGCAAATTGGAAATAACTGCTAACAGCTACAGTGTTTCTTTTGGGAGTGATGGAAATGCCCTGGAATTAGTGGTGATGGGTACACAACACAGTTGAATATACTAGAAACCACTGACTTGTACACTTTAAAATAGTGACTTTCATGTTCTGATTGGCTCTGCTAAAAATATATTGTTGGGAAAAATCAATGCAGAACATTGTTTAGAAGGATCCCATTTGTATAAGGAGGGAAAATTATACCTATGTTCACATGCTTGCACATCCTTAGGAAGTTTCTAGAAAGATACACAAGACACTGCTAGTACTTGTGACTGCTTCTAAAGTGAAGTGGGGAAGGGCACCTTCACTTAATACTTCTCTCCTGTTGGCACTATTTGCTTTTGTTTTAGATCATGGTTGGGATTATTTTTTGTTGTTTTATTTTAATTCCAGTGTAATTAACATACAGTGTTATATTAGTTTCCAGTGCACAACGTTGTGAGTAATTCAACAATTCTATACATTACTCAGTGCTCATCACAATAAGTGTACTCTTAATCCCCTTCACTATTTCACCTATTCTCCCCCTCCCACCTCCCCTCTGGTAACCAACAATTTGTTCTCTGTATTTAACAGTCTAGTTTCTTGTTCATCTTTTTTTCTTTGTCCATTTGTTTCTTAAATTCCACATATGAGTGGAATTTATATTTTATTTATAAATTTATATTTATAAAATATAAATTTATATTTATATATAAATATATATATAATATTATATATTATATTTATATATAATATATAAATATAAGATATAATATAAACTTATAAAATTATATATAAATATATAATTTATATTTATATATGATTTCACTCATATGGTATTTGTCTTTGTCTGACTTATTTCACTTAGCATTATACTCTCTAGTTCCATCCAGATCATTGCAAATGGCAAGATTTCATTTTTTATGGCTGAGTAATATTTCATTGTATATATACACCACATCTTCTTTATCAATTCATCTGTCAGTGGACACTTGGACTGTTTCCTTATCTTGGCCATTGTAAATAATACTGCTATAAACATAGGGGTGTGTGTATTTCTTTAGATTAGTGTTGTCATGTTCTTTGGGTAAATACCTAGTAGTGCAATTGCTGGATCTAGGATAGTTCTATTTTTAACTTTTTGAGGAAACTCCATACTGTTTTCCACAGTGGCTGCACCAGTTTGCATTCCAGCAATAGTGCAGAAGGGTTCCCCTTTCTCCACATCTTTGCCAATGACCTGTTGTTTCCTGTGTTGTTGATTATAGCCACTCTGACAAGTGTAATGTGATATCTCATTATAGTTTTGATTTGCATTTCCCTGACAATGAGTGGTGGTGAGCATCTATTTATGGCTCTGTTAGCCATCTGTATGTCTTCTTTAAAGCAATGTCTGTTCACATCTTCTGCCCAACTTTTATTGGATTATTTGGTTTTTGGGTGTTGAGTTGTATAAGTTCTTTATATATTGTGTCTACGAACCCTTTATCAGATATGTCATTTGCAAATATCTTCTCCCATTCCATAGGTTGCCTTTTAGGTTTTTTTTATTGTTTCCTTGGCTGTGTAGAGCTTTTTATTTTGATGTAGTCCCAATAGTTTAATTTTGCTTTTGTTCCCCTTGCCTCAGGAGACATCTAGAAAAATGTTGCTATAGTCAATGTCAGAGAAATTATTGTCTGTGCTCTCTTTGAGGATTTTTATGGTTTTGGTCACACATTTAGATCTTTAATCCATTTGAATTTATTTTTGTGTGTGGTGTAAGAAAGTGGTCCAGTCTCATTCTTTTGCATGTAGCTGTCCAATTTTCCCAACACCATTTGTTGAAGAGACTGTCTTTTTCCCGTTGGATATTCCTGCTTCCTTTGTCAAAGTTAATTGACCATATAATCATGGGTTTATTTCTGGGCTCTCTATTCTGTTCCATTCATTGATCTATGTGTCTGTTTTTGTGCTAGTACCATACTGTTTTGATGACTACAACTTTGTAGTCTATCTTGAAATTTAGGATTGTGGTACCTCCAGTTTTGTTCTTTTTCAATATTGCTTTGGCTATTTGAGGTTTTTTTGTGGTTCCATACAAATTATAGGCTGATTTGTTCTAGTTCTGTGAAAAATGCTGTTGATATTTTGATAGGGATTGCATCAAATCTGTAGGTTGCTTTAGGTAGTATAGACATTTTTAAAAATGTTTGCCCTCCCAATCCCTGAGCATGGAATGTTTTTCCATTTCTCTGTGTCATCTTCAATTTCTTTCATCAATGTTTATAGTTTTCAGGTCTTTCACCTCCTTGGTTAAGTTTATTCCCAGGTATTTTATTATTTTTGGTGCAATTATAAATGGGATTGTTGTCTTAATTTCTCTTTCAGCTACTTCATTATTAGTGTACAGCAGTGCAATGAATTTCCGTATATTGAGTTTGTATCCTGCGACTTCACTGAATTCATTTATCAGTTCTAATAGTTTTTCTAGAAGTTTTTTGGGGGTTTCTATACATAATATCCTTTCATCTGCGAACAGTGACAGTTTTACTTCTTCCTTACCAATTTGGATACCTTTTATTTCTTTTTATTGTCTGATTGCTGTGGCCAGAATTCCCAGTACTATGTTGAATAAAAGTGGTGAGAGTGGACATCCTGGTCTTGTTCCTGACCTTAGGGGAAAAGCTCTTTGTTTTTCCCCATTGAGTATGATGTTTTTCATATAAGGCCTTTATTATGTTGAGGTATGTTCCCTCTAGAGAGAAGGTTAAAGGTTTTTATCATGAATGGACATTGTACTTTGTCAAGTACTTTTTCTGCATCTATTGAAATGATCACGTGGTTTTTATCCTTTCTCTTATTCATGTGACGTATCGTATTGATTGATTTGCAAATACTGAACTACCCTTGTATCTCAAGAATAAATCCTACTTGATTGTGGTGAATGATAGTTTTAGTGTACTGTTGGATTCAATTTGCTAATATTTTGTTGAGGATTTTTCTATTTTCATCAGAGATATTGGTAACTACAGAGTTCTCAAGATCATGAGTGTTTTTAAAGTAATTTTTATAATCAAATAATTTTTTAAATAATTATGGAAAATAGTATGGTAGTTCTTCAAAAACTGAACATAGAGTTGCCATATGACCCAACAATTCCACTTCTGGGTAGATACTGAAAAGAATTGAAAGCAGGGACTCGGGTATTCACAAAGCCATATACATAGCAGCATTACTCACAGTAGCCAGAAGGTGGAAGCAATTCAGGTGCCCATAGATGGATAACTAGCTAAACAAAATGTGGTTTATGTATGCAACAGAACATCATTCAGTCCTCAAAAGGAAGGAAATTTTGACGCATGTGACAACATGGATGAAACTTGAGGACATTGTGCTACATGAAATAAGCCAGTCACAAAAAGGATAAACCCTGTACGATTCTATTTATATGAGGTCCCTAGAGTTGTCAGAGTCATAGGAGACTGAAAGTAGGATGGTGGTCACAGGGGCTGGGGTGGAGGGAGGGTGAGTCAGGGCTTAATGGATATGGAGTTTCAGTCTGGGAAGATGAAAAAGTTCTGGAGACAGATGTTGGGAATGGGTGCACAACAGTGTGAGTGTACTTCATGCTGCTGGACTGCACTCTAAGAAATGGTTAAAGTGGTAAATATTATGTTATGCATATTTTACCACAATAAAAGAAAATTTTGAAATTTTTAATGAAAAACATTTGGTGGGAATATGGGTGAGTTTCATCTTTTGGATTTTTCAGTTTTTAAAAGATACTTCCAAGGGCGCCTGGGTGCCTCACTGGGTTAAGCATCTGCCTTCTGCTCAGGTCATGATCTCAGGGTCCTTGGATGGACCCCTGGATTGGGCTCCCTGATCAGTGGGGAGTCTGCTTCTCCCTCTCCCTCTGGCCCTCCCCCCTACTCCAGCTCATTCTCTCTCTCTTCCAAAAAAATAAAATCTTTAAAAAAAAGATACTTCTGGTATCTTTCATAACACTTTAAAATGGGTGAAATCAACTTTATTGAACATTTGGCAAGGACTCATGTCACTCTTCCTACTGCCTGAGGTTTTCCATCACTGCAAGTAATAGGGCTTATAGTGAGGAGCAGATCTCATGTGCTGGGCTCGAATAGTTGTTGTTCAGTGGTGTCTGTCAGAGAGGATCTCTCCAAGCATGTGTGTGTCAGGAGTGGTTTGGGGCAGCCAGGGAGAAGACACAAGGTGCTTGTCATTCTGGTTTGCATTTGGGGAGAAATCTCACCAGCCCAGATGTTGCTGGGGGCCCAGTACTATAGCTGGGGGAACAAGGGTGCAAGAATACCTGACTCCAGGGGTCCCAAACAGACCAGGTTGGGCCACTTACCACTGACAAAATCCAAAGGCAGAGTAACAAGCAGTGGTGAAACAAGAAAGGAATTAATTTACTGAGGCCACCACCGGGAAGACCGTGGACTAGTGTCTCATAGACTGTCTCCAAAGTGCCGAAAATAGTCCCGGCTGATATAAGGAAAATGTGGGGCAAAGGTGGATGGGTACATGCAGGTGGGCCGTGAAGGTTTTATCCTGGGCATGGTCTTGCTGGCTCAGGGCAGTCCTCATTGCTTCAGGGGGTAATTTAATTCCCGTTAGGGGTTGCTTGGCCGCAAGGGTCTTTTGCCTGAATTAAGAGACAAAATGAAAAGAAGAATTTAATCAATTAGAAAGTACAGACTGAGCTCAAAATGGAGGGAGCTGAAGTCTGCTTTGAGTACTCTGATGGCATCCCTGTGGCCTTTGAATTGCCACTGTCCATGTGCAGGGTATCGCAAGTTCTGGAAGGAGTAGGGATGGGCTGCCGTTGGGAGTTCCAACGTGTGTGTTTTTTCCAACACCACTGAGACAGGGAAACTAAAGGGACCCAATGAAAAACTGCTTGTTTGCTCCTTTTCTTGCTTCCATTCTTGCTGGGACCTATATGCCTGCCTTACACACACCTCATCAAACAGATAATGTGTGTCCTCCTTGTAAAGGTCAAGGAATTAATGATTTCTTTGGAGGCTTCCAGCACAATAGGTAACATCTAAGGAGTGGCCGCTGGTGTCATTATGAATCTTTTCCAAGACCACTGACTCACCAAGACCCCTGACTCCAGGCAGAATTGACTTACGGAGGACACCTAAACACTCGTCTTTGTTCCTAGATGCCTGAGAAGACACACGTGCTGAACCACAACCCTCAATAAAAACCCCAGACTCCAAGCAAAGATGAGACTCACTCCTTTTCTCCTTCTGAGTCTCCTAGATGCTCCGTCTGTGCTCTCTCGATGTCTGCGATAAACTCTGCTCTCACTTCCTCTCTGCGCATTTGATTTCTATCCTGAAGAAAGCCAAGGATCTTCTTGGCTGGTCCTGTAGGAAGCCCTCTGGTCATCAGACCTCGCCAGCCTCCATCACCACTAACCAGTTAACCCAATTCTGACACTATGTACCTGGAGATTACCTAGGTAATTGGCTCAGTCCTACAAGACAGCACCCCGCCCCACACACATATCACTATCAAGTCAGCTGTACTTCTGATTGATCGGCAGTAGATTGGAGGTTCCCATGACCCCCTCCTTGGGTTTGATTCATGTGCTAGAGTGGCTCACAGAACTCAGAGGAACATTTTTTTAAAGATTTTATTTATCTATTATCTATTTGAGAGAGAGAATGAGAGAGAAAGTGAGCATGAGCCGGGGAGGAGCAGAGGCAGAAGGAGAGGCAGACTCCCCGCTGAGCAGGGAGCCCGCTGCAGGGTTCAATCCCAGGACCCTAGGATCATGACCTGAGCCGAAGGCAGACACAACCAACTGAACCATCCAGGCACCCCTCAGAGGGACATTTTACTTACCAGCTTACCAGTTTATTATAAAAGGAGATAACTCAGGAACAGCCAGATAGAAGAGACACATAGGACAAGGTATGGGGAAGGGGCGCAGAGCTTCCATGCCCTCTCAACATACCATTCTCCCCAAATCTCCATGTGTTCCCCAACACGGAAGCTGTCCTTTTGGGTTTCGTTTCTTTGGCAGCTTCAGTATTCAGGCATAACTGATGAAACCATTGGCCACTGATGATTGATTCAACCTCTAACTCCTCTCCCCTCTCCAGAGGACATGGGGTAGGACTCAAAGTTCCAACCCTCTCATTACTGCTTGGTTCCCCTTGCAACCAGCCATCATCCTTAGGTATTCTCCAAAAGTCACCTCATTAACATAAACTCAGGTGTACTTGAAAGAAGTTTGTTATGAATATCAGAACACCTTTTTTTAAATGATTTTATTTATTTGAGAGAGAGGGAGGGAGAGAGAATGAGCAGGGGGAAGGACAGGGAGAAGCACACTCCCCACTGAGCAGGGAGCCCAGTGTGGGGCTTAATCCGAGGACGCTGATCATGATCTGAGCCGAGGGCAGATGCTTAAACCGACTGAGCCACCCAGGCGCCCAGAATACCAAAACACCTTGATCACTCTTACCAGTTAGGAAATTCCAAGGGTTTTAGGAGCTCTGTGCCAGAAATGGGAATGAAGACCAAATATATATATTTTTTATTATAAATCAAAATATCACAGAGTGAAAGGAAATGTCTCCATCAGGGATTTCTCTGATGGTTAATTTTACCCATCAATTTCAGTGGGCCATTTTAAACATTGTTTCTGGGTACGTCCCTGTGGGTGATTCCAGACGGGATTAGCATTTAAATGGGTGGCTTTTCTGCAAGTAGGTAGGAATCTGCAATCTGTTGAGGTCTCAGTCTGTTGGGGTCTGAACAGAACAAAAGGCAGAGGAAGAGGAATTCCCTGTTTAATATCCCACTGAGCTGGGACACCTCATTTCATCTTCTCCTGCTCTTAGAGGGGGATTTACACCATCTCTTCCCTGGTTCTCAGGCCTTCAGGCTTGAACTGAATTATGCCTCTGGCCTTCCCAGTCCTCTAGCTTATGGTTCCATGGGACTGCCATGATGTATATAGCAACGATATCTATCTATATATAGACATCTATAGATATCTATATTATATATGTATATATGTTCAGATACATCTCCTATTGGTTCTGTTTATCTAGAGAATGATAATACACAGATATTTGAATCCCAACAGAGACTCTACAGGTGACACACAGTGGGAAGCAGGCAGTGTGAGAAACCAGCATCTCAAGCACAAGAAGGAGCAATAGGCACACTTGGCCTCGCCATTGGAGGGCAGTAAGGACTGGTAGGTGATGTAGGAAAGATGTTGGGGTTCAAAGCTGACGGCCAAGACAGAATTCTTGAGACATTTTCGGTGCAAAAGGTGGTTTTATTAAAGCTCGGGAACAGGACCCGTGGGCAGGAACAGCTACACCGGGGTGATGAGGAGTGGCCCATTATATACTTTCAGTTTGGGAGGGGGTTAGGGATAGCCTAAGTCTCTAAGGAATTTTGCAAGCAAGGTTTCCAGGCCCTTGAGGGGGCTAGCTATTGTTGGGAAAAGGTCATTTATTACAGTCTAATAAAACCTTAGTCATGAGATGGGGTATTCAGATGGATATTGGTGGGCCATCTCTTGGGGGATGAGTGCCAACAGGTATCTTGGGGGGGTTTAGGGATAAAGGAAGTTTCCAAAGGAATTTTTATACCTGAAAGTAGACTTACAGGATCCTGGGGAATCAGGCTAGGATTGTCTTTTGCCCTTAGCCAGGTATTAACATTGAGGCAGTTGAGTCCCTAGAGGAATGCCTCTCTGCCTGTTTCAAGGACTTGTCAATGGGCTATAGGTAGAAAGGAAATTTAGTAATTTTTCTTCTGCCTTTGTTTCCCACATCAGTAGGGACTGTGGCAAATTGGAAAAAACAAGCCCAGCCCCAAAGAGCCTCTAGCTGATTGCTGATGCAGAGGTAGGTGGTAAGGGCACAGTGTCACCTGATCTCTTGGTTTAAGTACACTGAAAATCTGGGTATTTAAGTGAAATCTCCCAACTTGTAAAAATTGGTGACAAAGTCAAACATTTTTGTTTTTATTTTTTTTAGGAACATTTTAGTTTGCTTTATTAGTGCTTCTCTTCAATCTATCTTTATATCTAACAATACATTATTAACTTTTTATTAGGGAAATTTTCAAACATACAACAAAGTAGAGAAAATAGCATAATGAAACTAAGATATCCACCAGCCCGCTTTAACAATTATCAATACATGACCAATCTAGTTTCAACTAAATTTCCTATTCTCCCCATTTCTCACTCCCCTCCCAGACTATTTTGAAGCAAATCCTGGATAACACATCATTTCAACTCAAAGTATTTCAGTATAATTATAAAATCTTAATGAAAATCTAATATGATTTAAGGAAAAAACACAATTCTCTTGCAAAAAAAAAAATGAGGGTGTTGATTTAAAAGCACTTTGCTTTCACCAAAAAAAACTTTAAAATTACCACCTATAGGAAATAAGTGTTAACAAAAGACATTGATGGCATGTGTATGTGTGCACAAGATCATAACAAAGTAGCTAAATATGAATTCTAGGAAAATGCACTGTGATACCAGTTAAGCATAAGATGAATAGATGAAATCAATTCACTTATCAAGTAAGTTGTTCACTATGTAGAATGGAAATAAAAAACCACAGCATATTGATAGCTGACTGAAGGCTCAGCCTCATTCTCCAACCTGGAAATTCTAAAGTTATGTTAGCATAAAATGGGTAGAATCTACCTAGAGTAGGAAGACAAGAGAAAGGGACTTGAAGGAATTGAGTTTATCATAGAAAAGGAAAATCATTTTGCAGGATTTCAGAGATAAGAAACTTTAGAAGTCAGTTGTTTCATGACCCAAATAAATGTAGTTACATTTCTGTCCAAAGTCTATTTTTTTTTCAGCTTTATTTAAGTAATCTCTAAACTCAACGTGGGGCTCAAACTCACAACCCCGAGATCAAGAGCAAAGTCTGTTTTTAAAATTAGTTTTGACAAGCGCTAATAGTTTCCATATTAGACAGTTGCCCCTCTCGATTCTTGACCACTATATTCCCAGTGACTCACAAATCACTGTATTAATGTACTTATTTTCTATCTAAACACATAACTATGGTCACAGAAAATCTGGCATACACTTGGTACATACAAATCCTGAACACCACAAATGAATTTCTCTAAATTAGAACAAAATTTCTACAACTACCAATTATTGGTTCATGACAATAACAACCAAAAAATGAAATTTTAACGATGAAATTGCACTACTTTAGTTGAAGCTTACAGATAATTTAGATTGATTTAGGTAAGTCTCTATTATCCTCATAAATGAACAAATGAAAATTTGTACTTAAGTATTACCTTGTACAGAATTATTAAATGATTTATCTTAAGATAACATACAAATAGCACAAGGCTTATTTATTTTTCTCACCTTTTCCATACAACTGATACGACTTTGTAAAAATATTAATGACACTATGTGGACTTCCCTTTGCCAATTCTTCCCATGGTCCTTTGCTTTGTGTACCACCTATGTGCCCAAAAAGTGGCAAGAATTTTTCAGCTTCCTTCTGAAACTCTTTGATGGGTTCATAACCATTTCTTTCTCCAGCACAAAATTCCTTTTCCTTTAAGATTTCTGCTACCTTCAACGTGGGCTGTCCATCTTGGCCTCCCTCTTCTTCAGAAAGACTCCCCTCACTAAGAAGAGGCCCTTCGCTGACTGAATCTGTGCTGGAACCAAAAGACAATTTGGCTTTGTCTTGAGAAGCTTGCATATCAGAGCTGGAAGAGTCAGTCCACCTCTTACACAACTGTGCCAGGAGCCCCTCTGGTTTGGGACCAGGGGATCTCATTCTGAACCTTGATATGGCACTAAAAGTCAAACATTTTTAAAGAGGGCAAACAAAATGCAGCAGCAGGTCAAGTCCGGCCCCCTGCCCTCCTTGTAGGAAGCTACTCAAAAACCTGGGGCAACAGAGCTCATCACTTGGCTGAGCCCTCCTGAACTGACCTGGGCTGGCCAGCAAGGAAAGCATCTGATTCCCAGGGAGCTCCAGGTTCACAGAGGGCAGAGGCTACCCAGGGAGAGGTCCTGACACATTCACAACCTCGAATTTTCAAGGCAACTGAAGCTGATGCCAGTCATGGCCAACTGGTTTCTATTTTAATCATTTTGATGAAAACATTTCTCAGTAGACTACACATCTCTGCTTTCTTAAAAATAAGACTAAACTGCACACAGAATCCCTTTGAAAAATATCCAGTTCCTGTGTCTGCCTAAGACACCACCGAATAAGCCATCCTGATCATCCAGTCCACGAGGCTGTGGTCAGCTGTCCCCACTCCCCCTGAGCCCCACGGGGGCCCCACTCTGGATGTCCGGCATCCCTTCTCCCTGGTGGCAGCAAGCAGCAGGCTGACACGCTGTGGCCCAGGGACGTAGCCTGCTTACTGGCATGGCTTGGAGTGGAGCTGAGAGGCGGTCTGAGGCCCTTGCACATGGCTAGTCGCCCCCTGAGCCATGGCCTGAAGCTGGCCATTGAACCCTGCCTGCCTGTCCTTTAAGGGAAGGTGCTGGATGGGGAAAAGAAGGGCGGTCCTGGTCTTAACATTGACATACTCTCTTTGTTTCTCCATAGGAACAGGGAATATTCACACAGATAGAGGCACCAGGGTGCTTTCGTGGAGACTTGTTGATGGACCATGGGAGGATTTAGAACTGAACTTGCTGCATACAACAGAAGTTCTACAAGGATAGCTTTAATAGGTGAGGACGATGGAGGCTGGAGTGGGGCCAGTGGGGCCGGTACAGCAGCTCCGTATGCTGCCAGGAACCCAGGCACCTCTGCCTTTCCATGAGCATCCTCCATGTGCTTCTGTGGTCCTTGTGGTCACAGCAGGGTTGCTGTGCTTCCAGGCATCACACCTGAAGTCCTGGGAGGGGGAAGGGGCGAGGACAAAAAGCAATCCAGTCCACTTTTATTTAAAAAGCAACAGCTTTCCCAGAGGTCCTACCCTGTAGACTTCCACCTCATCTCACGGCCAGAACTAGGCCAATGGTCACTCCTAATGACAAAGCAGTCCTGAAAATCAACTATGGGGTAATGTATATACTACTGTCCAGAAAAATTTGGGCTGTGTAAGGGAAAAGGAGGAAATGGCCACTAGGGAGGAGACAAACAGTGTTGAGTGGTTTAAGACACAGACCCCAGCTAGACTGGCCTCCTCTTTGTAGGTGTAAACGGGGAGGGGTGTCAGGTTCTCTGTGGCTCCTTAGATACCCATCCCCCAATTGCCTTCTCAATTCTGTGTGTAGGGTGGGTCATTTGTCAGTGAGCTCCAGGGGCTGAGCTAAGGCTAGGAAATAATGAGAAGGAGGTTCATGGTCAAAGGTGCCCTGCTTTGCACAGTGAGGTCATGGGGGGGTGGGGTTTTCTGGCCTGGACAGCCAGTAAGTGTGGTGGGGCCAGCTCGGCCTGACTCCCTGCATGGCCCTGGATGTTTACAGGGAAGGGAGCAGGTCCCAACGTTAGTAGGTGGGGTGGGAAGGGTGGAAGAAGAGGGGCAGGAAATTCATCCCTTCACTTGGCTTTTTATAACCTGGATGAGAATAAAGCAGAACCACAGTCACCCCTTGACTGAGATGCAGGTGTTACACTCTGTTATACAGCTTAGAAAACTGAGGTTCAGCGAGGCCAAGGTCACTGAGGTCCTGGCAGGCAGGCAGGGTTAGGAGAAAGCTAAGGACTGCCGGGCCCCCACATCCACCTATTAATTTAGGAGAAATTTTTATTTTATAAAAGAAACATACCCACACATTGGGACTCCAGAAAGCAAGTTTTGGCCTCTATAATCCTTCTCCAGTAAATAAATTAACATAAATTAAACAGATCAAAGTTTTATCAGGTCTTGGCATTTCATTTCTAAAACAAAGGAAAGAGGAAGTGTTGTCCAGTCACTGCGTTGTGCATCTGGAACTACTACTGTAAGATTGTGCATCAACTAGACTTCAATTTCAAACAAAGGAAAGGGGATATCTCATTGGTTGCTAAGGACAGGGAGGCAGTCCCCCAGCCCCCCATCGCCCAGGCCTGGTCCCACAGCAGGGTGAGGCCCTGGTCTGCCCTGGATTAGAGGGAGGAGCTAGAAGTCCCCTCCCCAAAGGGGCTTGTTCTGAGGAAGACAAAGGGTTTGGCCTGGGTGCCTCTGTGTGAACCAAACAAGACAAATGTCCTCGCCAGCATGCTCTCCTCTGTCATCAGAGGGTACTACCACCTTTGGGGGGCTTTCTCCCCACCCTCTCCCACCCCCACCCCACTGCTACCTTGTGCCCTCCTCCTGCCTTCACCTCAGCTCAAGGGGCTAGGTGGTCATAGGGGGAAAGCCAATCAGACCCAAAGCCTGCAGCACCCCAGAGGACAGGGGCAATAGGCAACAGGGAGTTGAGGAGGCAGGAGGGAGCCCTAAAAGTAGGGGAATCCTTAAAAAAAAAAAGGTACCTACTTCAAAAGGAAGGCCTGGAAAAGCATGGCCACATTAACTCCCTTTGGGCACTTTGCATCTGAGCCTGAGCTATGGGTCCAGCCACTACCAGGATCAGATATCTGGGGGAGGGGTGCAAAAATACAGCCTCAGGCCCAACAGGGCTCCTGCAGGACACCTGGTCGCAAACAGGGTTCTGGAGCAGACCTCCTTCTAAAGGGACTGCGCTGCATTTTCTTGCACTTCATACTGTGCCAGCCATCGGGGGCACCCCTCTTATCTCCTTTTTCCCACAAAGTACCGCTGACCCTTTAGGGCAGAACCCTGCCTGCCCCCAACCCACCAACCCATGGCCATCCTGCCCATGATACCTTACATGGCTTCTTTCCTTTCTTTCCTAATCCTTTATTACCCTGTCTTCCTCCCTGGACCCTCGAGCCCAGGGCATGGCCGTGTTCCTTTGGGCCCATGGCTGGAGGCCCTGAGATACAGAAAATATGTCATAGACAGCTAGACAGGCCAGCAGATGGAAAGATAGCTGGATGCATGGATAGAAGGCAGACAGGAGGCAGAGTGATTGATAAAAACCAGGCCAAAGGAGACTCTGCTCCCTTGGTGGAAGAAGGAATGGCAGGGACTTTGAAGGGACTGGTTGACGCCCAGTATTCATGGCATGCACGGCCCCCAAAAGTTCCTGGAGTCTACTTTGTGGTGGGCTAGAGGATTTGGCCCTGGACGAGACTTTTGCTGCCCTCCCAGGGTTCCCGGGGGTCACGGACAAACGGTCCCATCTCTTCTGGCCTGGGCTGGCTCGTTTGTAAACTGCAGATGGTGGTGCCACACCCTCCAGGGCATTGTGAGGCCAAGTGAGGGCTTGTGTGTGAAACTGCTAACCCAGGAGACAAAGGTGTGTAGTGACAGATGCGCTGTGACTGTGAGGGTGAGGACAGGGACCAAGGGGGGATGAGGGAACCGAGGCCGGCTCTTGGGTTCCCCTCATGGCCGCAGGGCCTGCTGGAGCATGCGCTCATCGGCCACCTCATGCGGGAGTGTCACCACCAAGTCCTTGTTGTCCTGCATCGTCTGGCAGATGATCTCGTAGGCCTTCCGGTTCCCAGACCAACAACGCCGAGCCACCTGCGGCAGGGTGCGGAGAGAGCAGGGCAGCTGTTGGTGCCAACACCACCTTCCCAACTGGGCCTTCTGGACACACTGCAGCTGGGCTGCAAATCCCCGCCCTCACCCACTTTGGGGCCCCTCTGTGCTATGTGTGGGGCCAGCAGTCTTGTGTGTCTGCCCCATCCCCACCTCTAGCTCAGACCTCCCTCTCTCTTGGCTGGACTATGTATTTAGCCACCTCTCTGATCTGAAACTGGCCATCCTTCTACCCAGCCTACCCCATGTCCAAGAAAGACCTTGCCTCCACACAGGGGTACCAGGCCAGGTATCCTGGAACCATCCTCAGGGAATCCACATCCATCTCAGCTCCGCCTTAGAATCTCTCTCCAATCGGCTTCCTTCTCTCCACCTCAGTCCTCAGGGCTTCCCCACCCTCCCTGATGCCATGCTTGCCTCCCCCGTCCCTCCCCTCACTGCTTCAGGGCCCTCAGGACGAAGACCACCCCCTCTACTGGTTAGCACCCCTCCAGGGACCCCTCCACCCCACTCTTACACTCACCCCCTTACCCGACATCCAGCTGTCTGGGCCCCTGCACGCAGAACCCCTCCGCTTCCCCCTCACACCTACCAGCATGCATCCTCCCCATGACCACCTGGCCCCCCGTTTGTGCTCACCACCCCTTCTCTTGGCCTGTGATGTGGTCACGGGGAAGGAGGGCACCCCCCCCACCCCTGCAGGGCCGCATGTGCACGTGCACAGCCAGAGAGGGTGGGAGTTGCTCGGCTGACAGGGCTGCCCCCTCTGCAGGGCTGGAAAGAAAGGAGGTCCTCAGCACCAACAGTGGCGTACTCTAACTGGGAGGGAAGGGTTGGAGGCCGCTGTGGGGACCGAGGCTGGACTGGAGGGGTAGGGCCAGAGGCAGGAAGAGACAAAAGAGACTCAGAAATAGCCCAAAAAGATGCAGGGAGAGACCCAACAACAGTGGGAGAGGAGACACCAGTAAGCAAGAGTGGCGGGACTGTTTCCTGGGGAAGAAGGGAGAACACTCTCTCAGGTCTGCAGTCTGGAGAGACAGAACCCCCATTGGAGAGAAGGCCCGTGGAAAGGCCTGGATGTGACTTACTCCGTTGGAGACATCCCAGCTGAGCATCATCTTGGCCTTCTGCTCAGCCTCCTGGGTCCCGTCCAGCACAAGGCCAAATCCTCCATTGATGACCTCACCCCTGCAAGAGGCAAAGAGGATCTCAGGCCACTCTCCAGACCTGCCCCTGCCTGGAGCAGACAGAAGCGCACGCACATTTGGGGAACCCTTTGGAAGCACACTGGCTCAAGGAGACAGTGTGGCTGGCCCCTGCGGCCTGGAGTCTGCACTCTCTCCCCAGCCTAGGGGATGCAGGAGTCACTGGGCTCTGCACTGCCCACTTGCACCTCCGTGCTTTACCCCGTGCATTCCATACCCACCTTCAAGACTCTTGACCATGTCACCTCCCACAGGTGACCTCCTTCTCTGTGGTTCTGAGTGCATCTCATAAAGGCCTGCTTCCTTGGGGGGCTCTTGTGATACTCAATTCAACTGTCATTCTTCTTGATTTCTCTTTATGCTCTTACTTTTCTTTGCCTCTTCTTTCAGTTTGCTTTAGGTATATTCTGAGGTCCTGATAACTTGATTTGAAGGCTGAGTTCCTTTATTTTCTGTATTTCTTATTTTCTAATGACCAGATTTCTCTGAGCACTGTTTGGACTACCTCCCCTCACAGACATGATATGTTCATGTGTTCATTCATTTCTTCAGTAGGTGTCGTGGGAATCTTAGTGAAGCATGTTAATGCTATCCAACTTTCCACATGCTTGCCCTGTGGTTCTGTGCCATCAGCTAGGAGCACCCTCTCCTTCCTAGCACCCCTGGATCTCCATTCTCACCCTTAGCATCATGATCAAGGCCTGGCTGCCCTTCCTGCTGTTAGCATCACTATACCCCTCCTACCCCCTTCTGTTACACACGTAGGAAATGCCCTCCCTCTTGTCGGCACTTGCCAGGACCTTACTGCCAAACACGAACCTGGCAATACAGCCTCCAACCTTTCAGTCCCCGCTTCCAGCGAATTTGTTCCTCCTCCTTCCTGTACCCAAAAGGTGCACCTAGCTTCTCTAGTCTCAGATCCTCCAGGCCTTACCTGCTTCTCTGCCCCGTTTGGGCTCTACTGACAATTTCAGCCAGTTCCTACCAAGAAGATGAGGAGCCCTCTGCTGCAGGAGCCAGCTGAGCTCCCCACTCCCAGCATGGAAGTCAAGCATCTCTGTGAGTGGGCAGCTGCCCCTGCCCTGCCCTCAGCCTGTGTCCCCGAGCTGGGCAGCCCTGTGCCTGTCAGTGGGCTCCCATCATATCTCCCACCAGCCTCCGGGTGGATTCAAGGTCATCATTAGTCACCTGTCAGGGGCTGATGTTGGGTGACAGAGGGGAAAGCAGATGCCAGCCAGTGTCACCAAGCAAGGACTTCAGTGTGTCCTTCGACCAGAGAGGACTTTTGGAGATGAGAACTTGATCTTCTGTTTTGGGAGCCTGAAGCCCAGACTGCTAGAGACCAAAGCTGCTCAGCTCCATGTGACCTCAGCAAACCCTGCCCACTGAGGCAACCTCAGCACACTGAGCCCAGGAAGATGAGACAATAAAGGCAGCACCACGATTAGCAGAGCACGGGGGGTTGCTCACAAATGGAGTTGGGACAACTAACTGTCCCTTTGAGAAAAACAGAAAAATAGAGCCCTATGCCACAAAAAGAAAAACTGGTGTCAGATGTACTAAAGAAGGAAAAATTCAAAATTATATGATAAATAAAGTTTAGGAGCATGTTTTTTCTTAACTTGGGAAGGAGGGGGAATGTCTTTTAAAGCAACGTTTAAAAAATGAAGGGCCCTTGAATCGCCTGGGTAGCTTAGTCGGTTAAGCATCCGACTCTTGGTACTGGCTCAGGTCATGGTCTCGGGGTTGTGAGATCCCCACATCATCCACGCTGAGCGGGGAGTCTCCTTGGGATTCTGGGATTCTCTCCCCTTTCCTTTTCCCTCTCCCACCCACTCTGTCGTCCCTTTCCCCTCTCCCTGCTCACATGTACACTCTCTCTCTCTAAAATAAATAAAGTCTTTAAAAAAAGTGCAGAGCCAGAGTAGAAGTTACTGGATAAAGATAAAGCTCCCTGTGAGGAGAGGAGGATCCTTCCAGAAAGCCTGGCTGCGGGGAAGGTGGTTAGCTCACAGCCCCTAGCAATAACTCCTTAGGGTCCTTCTTGGGGCAGAGGCTGAGCACTACCATGGTGAGGGCCTGCCTGTTTCTGCCCCCCCAAAGTGGGTCCTTCAGTGGCCTTGGCCCCAGAACCCCACCCCCCCAGGCGGCAAGACTGGCAGGTGTGCATGGAGACTGAGGGTGCCCCCACTCAATCCTAACCCCCCTTCCTTTCTCAGGTGGTCTTTCCAGTAAGCCTTTTAAACACTCTGCCTCCGCCTCAGCTTCTGCCTCCTGGAAAACCCGACCGGCACAGATACAATAAATGACATTCAAACACAAAGGACATGCACTCAAGACACGCATCTAATGTCTAGAATAGATTAAGAACACCCAACCAATAAGAAAAATCACACAACTCAAAACAAAAACTGGAAGCAAGCAAGTCAAATCAAAACAACAAGGATTTGTCACTTCTTGCCCACCAGTCTAGCAAATCCCATGTGGTAACACCCAGGGTGCTGAGGTTATGCAAACTGGAATTTTTATATAGGGAAATGTGACCACAGCTACCAAAGTTTAAAACGCCCACAGTTTTCACCTGCAGTCCCAAACAGCGTGCACCTGATAAAGGCTAACATTTATGGGAGGTGTGCCACATCTGGGCCCTGCCCTTGGCCCCCTTACAGGTAGCTCGCGGAGTAAGGTTAACGCACGCATTCGGGCCAGGCCTCCTGCAAAAGTAGCTCGTTTTGAAACCTGGGCAAAGTTATTTCTCCACCTGGGTAGCACCTATTTCTTACAGGGGACTGTTGCGGTGATGGGATGAGCTAGCATGTCAATCTAGAAGGCCTTGTACATGTTGTACACAGTACTATGAGCATTAGCCATTCACTATTTAATCTTCATAGCAGTTGCTATTATGATGCACATTTTGTCAATGAGAAACGAAGCTCAACAAGCTTAACTTGTGCAGAGAAATCAACTTCAGAATCCATGCTCTCAATTGTGCCATGAAACTATACATCGAAGATACCTCCCCACTGCACTGGAGATTTACGCCCACAGAGGGCGAGAACCTTGCAAGCCTTGGTACTCAGAGTGGTCCTCGGGCCAGCAGAAGCGGCATCACCTGTGAGCCAGATGTGCAACTGCTTTATAGGCTGGCAGTGAAGATTCGATAGTGAATGGCTAATGGCCACACCCTCCCTATAAGGGCAGGAGATGAGACCTGTGTTTACTGGGCAGACCAACCAGCCTAAAACCAGAGACTGACCGCTGACCTCTCCTGCTTTGCAGCCTATGGTCCAAAAGTCCCTGTGCACACCGGGCTGTGGGCGCCCTCTCGAAACACAAGCAGACAGCAAGGACCACTGGACAGACAGCATGAGCACAGACTCCAAGCAAGCAACCAGAAAGAGGGGCTCCAAGGAGACAGAGGAAGAGGAAGATGACACACAGCTGATGCGGATTGTCTTGGAAATGGAAGTGCTCCAAAACAGGGAGACAGTAGATGATATAAAAACTGAAAGCAGAGGTGCCTGGGTGGCTCATATGATTGAGCGTCTGCCTTCGGCTCAGGTCATGATCTCAGGGTCCTGGGATTGAGTCCTACGTCGTCGTCTGGCTCCCCTCCCACTCCCCTTGCCCCTCCCCACTGCTCCTGCTTGCGCACTATCTCTGTCAAATAAATAAATAAATACATACTGAAAGCATATCACAAAATAGCAGAAGGAGCTTATAACTTAGGAATGGATTTGTGTAGAACAAAGAAAAAAATTAGCTGACTAGTTGAAAGTGATTTCCTCCTGGAGCAGCAATGGTTGAGGTACAGATTTTTTTCCCTGCTGATTTTGCAGTAAGCCTTTCGGGAGCATCTGATGGATTAAATTATGTGGGTGTGTGCAGTCCTGTCTGCAAAGCCTCAGGGGCAGCCGGAGGGTGGGAGCAACTTGGGAATTGGCAGGGAGCATTCCCTCTGTTGGGAGCTCCCCATGCAAGGGGTCCTGCCCCGAGACCCTCATGTCATGGATGCTTTCTCGGGCCAGTTCTGCTCTGATCCCTCTTGCCCCCTGTGGCTCAGTTGGCAATGACAGGTGGATCCTGGGAGGTGACAGATCTGGGTTCAGATACTGGCTCCACCACCAGTTCATGTTACTCAACCTCATTCTCTTCACCTCCAGCACCAATTCAACAAATCCAGTGACAAAATGCCAGGTACCCCACAACCAGGGCACTCTCCGTTATGGTTTTCTCTAGCCTGTGTATTGGAAAAAATACATACTCACATCACATTTTCCATTAATTAGAGCCACCTGACTGAGCAACAGCTCGGAATTCTGGCCTCGAAGCCAGCCGATGGGAATGCTCTGGGAAGCTCCAGTGCTGAAGGACTTGGCTGTGGAGGGTAAGGCCAGGCTCAGTCTGGCCAGAACCCGCTCAGAGGTCAGAGATGGCTGGCCAGAAAGCTGCCTTCCTCTCTGAAGCCACAGCACCCCCTGCTGCCCCGGAGAGCCAGGAGTCCAACTTGGAGGGAGAGCACAGACCTGAGAGCGGAGGGGACAGCTGGAAAAGCTGCAGCTCATTAACCTCCTGGTGCCTCAGTTTCCTCATCTGTAAAATGTATTTGCTTCTACGATTAGGTGAGAGCGTAGATCCAAAGAGTTTCGTAAATGCTTGCCACACCATCCATGTACAATAAATATTGTTCATTATTCTTTGTGGATTTGATATTGTGATTTATAATAAAAGATATATATTTGGTCTTACTCCCATTTCTGGCCCAGAGCTCTTAAAATACTTGGAATTTTGTAAGCACTGAGAGCAGGCAAAGTGTCTTTTGTTATGTGAATGAGGTGACTTTTGGATCGCATCTAAGGAATGGGGGCGGGGGTGCTAGTTTCCAGCAGAACCAACCAAATTGCTACAGGATTGGAACTTTCAGTCCCACATCCTAGACTTCCAGTGAGGGGAGAGGGGCTGGAGGTTGAATCTGGGGTCAGTGATTTAGTCAATCATGCCTAAATAATGAAGCCTCCATTAATACCTAAAAGGACAGGTTTGGAGAGGTTCTAGGTTGGGAACCAGAACGCTCCCACGTGCCACCGTGCCAGGCCCCAAATTCTGCAAGGACAGAAGTTCTTTAGTTTGGGACCTCTCTCTGTGTGCTTCATCTGGCTATTCACTTGTACCCTTTGATATCCTTTGTAATAAACTGGTTTCCTGAGTTCTGTGAGCTGCTCGAGTGCATTAATGGAACCCAGGGAGGCTACTGTTGGAACCTCTAATTTGTAGCCCCTGTATCTGTAGTCAGATGCACAGGTGACAACCTAGACTTGCAATCGGCATCTGAGGTGGTGGCATCCTTGTGGGACTGAGCCCTTACCCTGTGGGATCTGGTTCTGTCTTTGAGCAGATGGTGTCAGAATTGAGTTGAATTGTGGACACCCAAGGGGTGTTGGAGAATTGCCCAGTGGTGTGGGAAAGCCCCCACATGCTAGAATTAGGGGTGCAGAATTATAGCAGACCTCTTCATAATGGAGCTGCCACTGTCAGCCGGAATAAGACCCTTCTACAAACCCCAATTTCCTCATGGCACAGACTGGGAACAGGTCTGGCAGGGCAGAGCTGTGAGCCGGGGACCCAGGAGAGCCCAGAATCCAGGTCTCCCACCTCCCAGCCCAGCTACCCGGGCACGTCAGTGGAGAAGGCCCGGGCCAGGACAGCACTGAGAATTCCTGAGAAAACATCTGTGAAAACAAAGGGGAAACTGACACGGTAACTGTAGGCATGGTTTTTACAGCCTTTGTGTCCAGTGCAACAGGTGAGACTCTGAAAGGCAGAGTGGCTCGGCCATGTCCTGTGATTTCCTGTTCACATGAGGAACACGTCACAGCAACGTTGTCAGCAGAGCGAGCTCAGGGGAGGCAGGGCCCAGGGCCCTCAAGGGAATTCCTGAGACCTCTACACCAGCCCACACCCGCAGCACCCAGTTCTCCAAAACCTTACCAGCCGACACCCCCGCCATTGTGAAGAGCGACCCAGGTGGCACCTCGAAAGGCATCTCCCACGAAGTTCTGCACAGCCATGTCTGTGGAAACAGAGGCCACCGCCCATCGTGCCCTGAATGAGGTGGGCTGGGGGGCCAGGTCAGGCTCCGAACAGGGTGACAATGGGCTGAGTGGAGCCTGAAGGACAGATAGGGAACTAGGCACAGACTCTAGAAACAGCAATAATTTATGTTTGCAGAGCCATGCAAAGGTGGAGTACTGACAAGTGCTCAAGTACCCACCGTTATCCTTCTGTATAGTTATGCTCTCCAGCACTGAATGCCAGATATAGTGCCCCAGAAGCAGAAAGAACAAAAGAATTAAAGGGGTGGTGGTACTGATTTTAGTTCATGGATGCAGAGAGCCAAAGAGAGTCACTCCCCCCCCTTAAAACAAAACAACAACAACAACAAAATAAGGGTGGAGGACAAACTACAAATTAATGACTGTCCTTGACCCCAACAGAGAACTGAGGTCCCGGGGCAACTAACTAATTACAGTCTGGGGAGAGACAGGCCCTTGCACAGAGAAACAGAACCCAGGCTGGTCACCTTACATGTGTCTCTAACAAATTGCTAAAGGACAAGCATGAGCTTGCCTGAAACCTTGAGGCCCCTGGGACACAGATATAAGGGGGTGTGCATGTTCTAGAAGGCTCTTCCTCCAAAAACCCAGCTGAGTCCTCCCAGAGAAGATCAGGGAGAAGCCTAACAACACCCTCCTCCTTATACTGGGCTGTGAAATGCAAGAAGTGCAGCTCTAGAACCTGAGAAAGGCTGGGAAACTCTAGGGCCTCCTGAGATGCCACGGCCCAGCCATGTCTTAGCTTTTGCTCACCAAATCTGATTTCAGACTTCCAACCTTCAGAACTGTGAGAGAATACATTTGTGTTGTTTTAAGCCATTAAGTTTGTGGTATCTTGTTAGAGTGGCCATAGATATGAATATAAACTATATTAATATCAGAATTTCAGAGCAAGGAATATTATGACGGACAAAGAAGAACATTACATAATGATAAAGATGTCAGTTCTCCAAGAAGACATCAGAAACTGAAATGAGTGTGCACCTAACAGCATAGGTTTAAAAGTACTTGGAGCAAAGATGGTTAAGACTTGAAAGGAGAAACAGACAAATCCGCATACACAGGTGGAGACTTCACCACTTTCTCTCAGTAATTTACAGAAAATTAGGCAGAAAATCAGTAAGTCTCCAGATGAACAGAACAGCATTATCAACCAACCTAACTGATATCTGTAGAACCCTCCAAATAACAGCAGAACATACGTTCTTAAGTGCAAGAAGATAGACCATTTTCTGGCCACCAAACAACACTTAACAAATTTAAAAGAACAGAACAAATATAAAGTACTTCTCAGACTATAATGGAATTAAACCTGAAGTCAGTAATAAAGGTATCTGAAAAGTCTCCTAAAACTTGGAAATTTAAAAAGATACTTCTAGGTGTGCCAGGATGACTCAGTCAGTGAAGCATCCTACTTGGCTCAGGTCATGATCTCCGGGTCATGAGATTGAGCCCTGTTTTGAGCTCTGCATTGAGCATGGAGCCTGATTAAGATTCTCTCTCTCTCTCTCTCTCTCTCTCTCTGTCCTTCTCCCCCACTTGCACACTCTCTCTCTAAAAAATGTTTAATTAATTAAAAAAGATACTTCAAGTAACCAATGGATCCAAGAGGAAGTCTTATGGGAAATTAACAAATATTTTGAACTGAATGAAAATGAAAATATATAAAAATTTGCAGGATGCAGCTACAGCAGTGTTTAGAAGGAAATTTAGAGCATTAAATACCTCTATTAGAAAAAAAAAGGTTTCAAATCAGTAACCTCAACTTCTGCCTTATGAAGCCAGAGAAAGAAGAGCAATTTAAACCCAAAGCCAGTAGAAGGAAGGACATACTGAAGATTAGAGCAGAAATCAATGACTTTGGGGGGCGCCTGGGTGGCTCAGTCATTAAGCGGCTGCCTTTGGCTCAGGTCATGATCCTGGGGTCCTGGGATCGAGCCCCACATCAGGCTCCCTGCTCAGCGGGAAGCCTGCTTCTCCCTCTCCCACTCCCCCTGCTTGTGTTCCCTCTCTCGCTGTGTCTCTCTCTGTCAAATAAATAAAATCTTAAAAAAAAATCAATGACCTTGGAAGCAGAAAAGCAATAGAAAAAAATGAATAAAACTAGAAGTTTCTTTTCTTGGGACGATCAATAAAGTTGATAAATTTCTAAGCAGACTGATCAAGAAGAAAGAAAGAAGACACAAATGACCAATATCAGGAATGGCAGAGGAGACATCACAACTGACCCCACAGACATTAAAAAGATAAAGGAATACAACTCTATACCTATAAATTTGATAACTTACATGAAATATATCAACTCCTTCAAAAAAGTTATACAGACGGGGTTCCCGAGTGTCCACCTCCTTTGCTTGGCATCCCATCCATAATGGAAGGAGCCCCCAAGTGCTGGGAATGAGCAAGCTATGCAGGACTAGAACCCACCAGCCTCTGTGATGATTATGATTGTAGTGGGTTTAGAAGCAGAACAGT